AAAAAAAAAAACAGTATAGGTAATTGTTCTCGGCCGCTTTATTACTTCAGGCTCTCACACCGGGACTTTCGGAGTCGGCTGTATGAAGACCTGTCTCTGTCTGCTATCGGCCACGTGAGGCTCCGTAAGGTGGTCCAAAAATGGGAGTTTCCGAAATTAGGGGTGCCTTATTTTGGGGTCCTTATAATAAGGATCCTACTGTTTGGGGTGCTATAGTAGGGTCCCCTATTTTCGGAAACCCCCAAATGGGGTTCTCGTACTACCCTTTCTACAGTACGAGTGATTCTGCACTCTAGCTAGCATTCGGATTCTGAGTCTCCACAGCATGAATAGGACTGGTGATTCGAGGCCAGTCGATTGCTCTGTGCGGTTCAGAGCAGTCAGGTGCGAACATATGACGAGCCTTACTCTGTGCAGGATGTTACAAGCCCGGATGCTAAGCCTGATGACAAGTTGAGTTGAAGTCTTCCCGGCATCTGGCACATAATCTGCGGTGACTGTTGAACAGACATAAGCCATCTATTCAGCCCCACACCACAGCGACTCAACAGAACCATCGGAGCTGAAAGTTGCGCGGTGTGCTCATGCAAGGTTTACTGGCTTTCCGGCGACGCCGCTACGCCTGTCTTGAAATCCCTCTCCCAAGGAAGGCCTCTTGCTCGGTGTCCTTGGCACATCAGAGGCTCTGGGATGATTTCAGGATTCAGTAGGGCTTGCCCTGCAGGTTTGAGGAGCGAATAAGCAGTGATAGTCTTCCCTTACTCTACTCCCATCTTCCTCTGTGGTCTACATATACATATACCTCTCAACACTCCGTCGCAATCAGTAAGGCCGCGATATTAGCAGGGATCCCCAGCCAATCAGTGCAAGCACAGGTGGTCTGTCTTGATCAAAGACAAACCCAAAGCGTCACAAATACTGACATTGCGCGGCGTGACGTTGCCATGTTCTAGATCTGGATTATGGATTGGGAAATATCCCCTGTCAGCCAGTTCAGGAATTTAGAGTCGTAGAATCCCGTAGAACGGAATCATCCTTGGGGAGGCACCTGTGAAACCGAGGACCTCCAGACATAGTTCAGTTTAGAGCAAAGCAAGGTTGCAAAGCCAAAAGCCGGAAGAAGAATTCTGGCGCTGTTACTTTGAGTGTCATAGCAAGTCACCAGGATATCTAATCAGTAAAAGCCACCTCCTTCCTCTGGATACTGTCGATTCTAACGGAGGCAACGCAACCTGTCTAGCATCCATGATCGTTGATGGTGGGAAGTCGTGTGCCATACGGACGGTCACACAGGATGCTTTGCCAAGCTTGCCATGAGTGAAGCTACTCGCACCCCCTGATCTCTAAGTCCGTGGAATTCTTGGGTGTAGACTCGACTCCCAGATCTATGATTTAATTGATTTAATGTAGGCAATGGAAAACACGGCGATTGAGATTCTGCACTCGCGTCCTAGAACATTCAGGCATCTACCTGCTGCTCCAAGGCTTATAATCGTTCTACGGCAGGGTCAGACTCTTCAACGCTGCACTTTTTGACAGCTAGCTATACACTGTACACACGCGCCTGTCAGCGTCGGGTGAAAGTGAAAGGTCAGCAGCCTGAGGCTATCGGCTATCAGCACTATCATAGCATACTATATGTGAGTTTCAACCTGCTGTCGGACCTGCGCCCCTCAACATCCAGCTTTAGCACGAGGCCCGTTCTGCATCACGGCGGCGCACGGCCAGCCATGAACAGGCCAGAAACGTGAGCTGGAACCCGCTCGGACAACATAAGAACAGGAAGAATGAATGAGACAATACTCGCCATAGTAAAGCAAAGCTGCCATGAGTAAGCATGTTTAAGTTTACTGTTGTGCGCAAGTCGCTCGCGATATTGGTGGCTCACAGCCAGAGAAAGCAGGCAATCACTTGGTTCCTGAGCGGTGCGGAGCTTTTGAGAAACGCCTGCTTGGGGTTCTTGCCCTGGAGCAAGGCCGCTTTAAGCACAGATTTGCTTTGCATAAGTGGTATGGCAGGAGCCTTCTAGACTTCTCTTGGCAAAGGAAGGTTTATCATGAACAACGCTGGGTGCCCTGGGAGGGCGAGGTCATGAGGCCTCAGTATAACTGCGTCGAACAAGGGATGCAAATTTCCTGCCTGGAGATATTCAAGCTCCCAGGGCATCTACATGCAGCCCCGCTATATTCGATTGCCCAGCACCGTGAACCCTAAAACCCCAAACCCGCCACCCAAGCCAGATCTTAAAAAGTGAAGAACCCGCCTAATTGGTTTCTCAAGAGTAGGGTCCTGTTTCAAGTCCTTTTTATAAGTGTGCCGCACCGTTTTGGGGACCTAAAAATGGGCCCTAATTCAAAGAACTACCCATTACCCACTCATAGAAGTCACCAACCAAAGGAAACTTGCATATGTGCCAAAAAGAGTGACATCTCAGGATGGCAGCATACCAATGTTGGCCAAGCCGCATGGTGAAGCTCTTTGGCTAGCGGCCTTCTGGATCGCCAGAGCCGATGACGTGGATTTCTTGAGGTTTGCACACCTTTTCCTGAGCTAACAGGGGATCGGTGTCTGGGGGTTTAGGTAACATAGGGGCCTTCACCACATTAGTAAATTCAAATCGCGCTTGGGGAACATTATAGTATAATGTTCGAAGGGCAACGGCCGATTGGTCATGGGCTCCCACATTCAGTCCAACTTGCGGCTGCACACGGTGCGTACAGCTGGCGCATCAGTCGCACAGGTTATGAGACTAATGCAGGCAGAAGGCCAACAACTATAACAAATGACGACACGTGGCCCACGGAGTCTAGCAATACTCACACGGACAAACACGGACAGCCCCTTTGCCAGCGGAAACAGCCCCGCTTCCCTGTTAAGGGCCAATTAAGGCAGAATGCCCTCGTCTTTAGCGGGAAGTCTAGACCATCAGCAAAAGCACAAGCAAGGATTGCAGATACTGCTAGCTCGTCCCAGAGGCCAAGATGGGAATGGCGGAGCTTGCGCAGGTGCCGTCGGTAGTCGCAAGCACCAAGACATAGCTCTCGGAGGATATCCCGGCCATGGCCTGAGGTTTGGTAGATTGAGGGCTCGATTCGGGAACGGAGCTTGGTGGGTTGGTACAGATCTGGATTCAATATGCATTCCTATGTCGACAGTGAAGGTGCGTGCTGTCCAGGCGGAAATCGGCACATTGACACTGCTCATGTGTGTGTGTGTCAAAAGTAACTCATCATTACTGGATCTTCTGTCGTTCAGATTTTCAAAAAAAAAGAAGAAGCACTGAAGGGACGTTGGACCTGCCGGCGAGCTTCTATTGACTGCAGGATGGCAAAGAGGCTGCCTTTCTCGACGTTTCCAATGGAGCTTTGCCATTTTGCCGCGAGGGAGTCAGCCGTGACTCCCTCGGCTGCAAATCCCAAGACCCGGAGAAAAACGGGAACAAGCTTGAGTACGGTGATCTGCGTCGCCCCGGCTATCAGTCCGGCGCCAACCAAGACCTTGTCTGCACAGCTCCAGCCAATTTGAATATCCCCGTCTCGCGGATGCCGTGCCCGGGCTTTGTAAGTGCTAATGTCAGCGCGCAAGCGTTCTGTCTCATCTATTGTCAGTGCTTCCAAATGGTGCGACAGTCGTTGGGTCTCATTAGACATGGTGCCTTGAACCTGGCCCCAATTCGTCTTCTGAACCTGCACTGCCTTCTTGTCAAGCCAATCCTCAGCCATCTCGGCTTTTTGCGATGCATTCTTAGAAACCTGACTCCAATTCGTCTTCTCGACCTGCTCTGCCTTCTTGTGTAGCCAGTCCTCAGCAATCTTTGCTTTTTGCGACACATTCTTCGAAACCTGGCTCCAATTCGTCTTCTCGACCTGCTCTGCCTTCTTGTCTAGCCAGTCCTCAGCAATCTTTGCTTTTTGCGACACATTCTTCGAAACCTGGCTCCAATTAGGTCTTTTCGACCTGCTCTGTCTTCTTGTCTAGCCAGTCCTCGGCAATCTTTGCTTTTTGCGACACATTCTTCGAAACCTGGCTCCAATTCGTCTTCTCAACCTGCTCTTCGGCTTCATGAATCTTGTCAGAGGCGACCTCCTTCAATGAATTCCACCAATCTGCCCAGGAGCCGGACCCTGACCCTGAGCCTTGGAACCCATGGGCCGCAAGCATTGTAGCCTCTGTTGCCCGCGATTCCCTTGGGGTGGGAATTCCACGTGGTTCGCTAAGAATCGCCATGCCGCACATCAGGAGCAGACCCACTGCCACTGTCCCGCAGCCGGCTTTTCTGCCTCCTTGGATGTTCAAAAAATTTGCTTTTTAATCTTACGCAAGAGGAAGTGGTGAGCTCCAGGGCAAAGGGGTCCAAAACAGGTGAGGGTAAGACAGCGTGATTCAAGGTTTCCGACAATCGGGGTTCCCGTCCGGTGTTGTCAACCCGCAGCAATGACAAACAAGCCAACTGTAGGCATGATTCTGGACGAAGTTGGCTCGCCAAGAAGAGGTCGAGAGTCAGCCACCATTGCAAAACTAATCTCGATTGGAAATCTGGAGAGTCTTGGGTTGATTGCAAAACTGCAGGAGGTCAGCCTTAAAGGAGTAGGTCCTTCCGAAGAAACCGGTTTTGCCGTCATCTGAGACAAAAATGTCCTCTCAAGCTTTCTGAATTCCCTCGCAAACCTTGCCGAATCCTTCGCAAAACGGAATCCATAAGTCCATAAACAATATTTCCGAAATCTGTGGCAAATTGCCCCAAAATCTCGAGCAAATGTTGGAAAAAACAATTCCTCAAGCCATTCCCGGTTGTGGTTTGGGTGCCCACCCAAACGGCCCAAACCCCAAACTGGAGTTTCCGACATCCCCGCAGCCTCTGGGCCCCACACACAGGTGCGAAACAGTGGCAGCTTCTGGAAAAACATACTGATACTGCATCGGTGGCTCAGGCTCTTCTTCCTAAGCCCAGCAACGTTGGGAGGATCTCAAGTCGCCCGAAACCGCAGCCTGAATCCTGAAACCTTGATGATGAGGACCTCCAGCCTCAACAGTCTCACATTTTCACCCTGCTTTCTTGTGCGTCGTGGAACTTTGTGCCAGTCTGCGCGATCTTGCAGTTTCCGAGCTTCTTGCAAGAGGTTTGATGTCATGCGAAGCCTTTCTGCACTTCGGGACTCCAATCCCAAAGCGCACCCTGAACAGCTCCTAAGCCGTAGAGACCCGAGTTTCTCCGTTCAGGCCGAAACCCGAGTTCCTTGGCTCCTAAGCTTCGCAATAAGCCTCCCTGGGCGGACATCAAACATCGTCAGCGAAGAGCTTTTGATCAAAGCGAATTCAGGTCGGACATTGCCGAAGTACAGCCATGAGGTGGCTGTGCATCTGGTCAGGTGGCTATTGCTCGATGTTAGACCACGAATATAGGGGTCTGACAAATGCGTAGTGATCTCCCTTGCGCTCTTGCGCAACATTACTCACTAAAAGCCCTATTCTGCTATGAAAACTCTCTATGTAATTATAATCTTCTTCAGATTCCTCTTCTGCCATGTACATGGGCTTACGTCTTCGACCCATCCTGGCTGTTGGAATATTAGCGACACCTTTCACGACACATCACTTACTACATTCTGCCCCGAAGCCTAGTCACTACTACTCCCTGTGTTCGGCATATCGGCGTTTCGAGATCTGGGGGGGGGGGGTGTCGGAAGCTGGGTGCCAACATCTCGGCTTCGGAAGGCTTCGGCTCCGCTTGATGTAGTGAGCAGTTGAAACCCGTACAGGAAAGCCGACAAGCGCCCCGAACCTTCAACCCTCAAAGTCTGACTTTCGGGGATATTTCGTCGGTGACGCTCTAACTTTAAGTACGAAACAGTATGACCTCAGGGATCTTGCTCAAGCAAGGCGTGTTGGGTTCAAAAACCCTTGGTCTGTCTTGCAGGAATATTTTCCCCCTGCTATGCGGTCTGATTTTCAGCTTGAAGGGTGAAGCTATGCCACTATACCTATAAGCCATGAAACGAAGAAGCAAAGGTAGCCGCATGACGGGCTGTGGGTTGCGAGAGCTTCCAAACTAGTATGCGGTTGAGGGTTTAGGGTTGCCGTACTGCAGCCTGTTCCATTACGTCCTACTCAAATTCGCAGACGGCAGTGGAGCTGGGTGCAGTCGCATCTCGTCGCTGAAACGAGGTAGTCAGGAGCGAAATTCGTTCTCCAAGCTGCTATATACATATATGTATATTATCTCTCTCTCTCTCTCTCTCTCTCTCTCCTGCATTACACTCCATCTAATTAACCAAAGGTCCTGAATGCTGTAAATCCCGTGTCTAGCTAGATCCTTCATTCAGCCCCGAAACCTAACTTTGGAAGGACCCCGGCAGCAACCGCTAGACATCCTGATCCCGAGCCAGCCAACCAGCTGCCACAACGCCAGGCTCTCAGCATGAGTTCCTGTCGACTCCGAGGATTGGGCGTTTTGAGGGCCGAAGCTTCCAGGGTTTAAGGCTTTAGGCTCAACTTTGGGCATCAGGGCAGATGGCACAGCCCGCAGGGTTTCGGCATCGGCCGAACCGCGATTTTTTGAGAGTCTTCAGCGGGTTTTCCATATCCTGGAAGACACGCTACAAAAAAAGAGAGAACGAGCACTGACAAGAGGCGCAGGAACATGGACAAGACCATGTGCCGACGCAGGACCAGGGGCCTGTCGAGCCCATCAACCGTTCCATCAAACAGGCCTCTTAGGAAAGGTACCGGCATGTCTGGCATGGTAGTTGCAGCATATATTGCACATATGAAGAGGGTACCCCTCGATGTCACACAACGGGCTCCTCATGGTACAATGGCCGGCGGGGTCAAGAACCTCACAGGGCAGTCACGTTCCGATGGGAGTTGCGTGAGCTGTATCAGGTAAGCCTAAAAAAAAGGTTCCGGGAAGGAGTTTGGGGATAACTCGATGTGTTGTTCACGGGCTTCTTGTCGAGCTTTTAACTCCAAGCATGGGCTGCAGGAAACACTACCAGACAATCTCTCATCGACGCACGGCTAGCTGGAGCATATCCTTTCCGCGCTTCGAGTGAAGTCCGAGCTCAGGGCTTACGGGGTTTAGGGTTTAGGTTTAGGGTTTAGGGGTCTAGGGTCTAGGGTTTAGGGGTTTAGGGTTTCTTTTAGGGTTTGGGGTTTAGGATTTAGGGATGGTTCCCCAACCCACACCCTCACAACCTCTTGCCATGGTCAGGTTCAGTAGTGCCAGTGCCATGCTCTACGTACTGGTGCATGAGGAAGGGGTTCGGTTCGGCTACGGCAACTCACAATACATACCGCATGCCAAGCTCCTTTCGGGGAATTGTCGAGTTTTCCTTGTCTACTCCGGCTACGGCTTTTCCTCCGACTTGACGACCGATCTGCTAAGAGCAGCCAGAAATGTCAAGGTCGACATTAGATAACACCAAAAGGACCCAGATCACCCCTTCTCACGCTGATACCTGTTGCTTTTGGAGAGTAAGGGGCCCCGTTGCAGAACCCTACAAGTACATGGTGAAGCCTTGTTTCTAAGAAAGGACTCTGTGAACTCCTGCTTTCGGTCCGGGTCGGCACGTAGAGGTGGAAGCCCGCAGAGGGTTGTGGGCGGCTAGCAGCTGACAAGCCCATCAACCCGATTGCAATGCAAGCCCCCCAAAAAAGGACGAAAAAAGCATGCTTGAACGTTGATTGTGCTGGCGGTTATACTGACAACGCAGACTTCGACGGTAGTTTCTGAGCCACTGGCCTGGAGGCATGCCCAGTGATCCAATCCCCGATGTCCTGATGGGATGCTTTGAGTTGCAGAGCACGTGAATGCAAATGTGAAACCTGACTGTGGGCTAACTCAAGAATCAAATAACAGCTCCCTGCGTTCTTATCAGTAGTAGTCACACACATGAGACACTTCCATCACCAACCCAGGGCTATTTCTTGCGGACTTCCCTTGGCAACTCAATTGGAAGGTTTTCTGCCCCGTCGCTCTTCGATCGCTGTCCGTTTGGTCTGCATGAGAGGGTACCTAGCTATACCTCTTGTATGCCGTTTAAGTGGTTGGGGTCAAAAGTGCTACAGTTCAGGGTCTAGGTATCAGAATACATCTTCGGCATTTGTTGCCCCTAGAATAGGCTCGGGGGGATTACATAGCTTGACATTGTATCACGAAGACGACGACCTTACAGCAAAAGCCCTACCGGCAAATGAACCTGACAGAGCATCGAAAGCCAAACAGCGATCCCCAAGACAAGAACAACTGTCACTGTGCGTCTCACGATGCACGACCCTTTTTGAACCCTAAACCCTAAATCAGTACAGAGCTCCCCGGGACGTGGCTTCGGGATCGTGCCAGGGCCTGGCCTGAGTCACTACGAGTCCTGGTATTCTTGCGCTACATGTGTCCTACGAGTTCATGGCAGTAGTGGACTTAGGTGGTGGCGTTACTGTCCGTGTGCTTCTTCTCTTTCTTTCCACAGGGTTGTGGTGCAGGGGAGCAAGCCCCCCTACACCGCGCGCAGGTGCGCCCCCGCCATTTGCGGGTGCCAGAGGTGTGAAATGCTCAAAAGGCAGAGTGCAATTGGTTGGAATGAAGGGGTTTCCCCCCAATCACACAAATTTCCGTCCAACCTGCATGGGGCCAGGCCCCGTTGAGAAAGAAAAGAAAAGACTTTGCAGAGGCAACAGCCCCTTTGGAGCGTCTGGAAAAGGTTCAGGGAGCCCGTGTGGGGCTGCG